GCTGCAACTCTCCACCTCATGTTCTCTCCTGCAATAATTCTTTCCCTGCTTTTAGAAAATTATATTGCTATGCCGGCCTTTCAAACTAAATTCCAAATTAACCGGGGACTGTACATCAATCCATGCTTTTATAGATTTTTCAACTCCTCGTGGTTATCAATTGAACTTGGACTCTCCCACGCTATTTTAATTACTCTTTTGGGACCATTACGCCAAGATGCATGTGATGGAACATTTTGACTTATTGGCATCATGGAAGGACTTTTCCTCGGCTAGCTTCTTTTATTTCTCATATGTTCAAGTGTTTGGAATCTTACAAAATTAGTTTGCGGAGTCCCATGGTCCCATAGGTGCAAGAGGAGAAAACGACAGCAAAGAACTGAGTACCATTTGACCCGTACGTGTCATATACGGGCATATTAGTAATTTTACAGTGTAGAATAAAAAAATTAAACAGGATAGAACAGTAACACAGAGGCAAAAGCGTCAGTTCACGGTTAATAAACGGCGACTTTCTACTGAGTTTTAGTCAGACGTGTATATATGTGCCTAAATTAGTAGGTGTGGAAATCATGGGTTTTGGGTTGGTTTGGATAAGAATTGGTTTTGGAGTTAATTATTTCAATCTAACTCACCACTGGTAGTGTTTGTGTATGAATTTGGTCAAGTTTAGAACTTGATTAGTCATAAAATTAAACCTCTTAAAAATCAAGTTAAGCCAACTAACAAACTACATAGAAAATTTAAATTGTGTTAGTTGCCTACATCAGTGTATATACTCTCTTACACTCAAACTTGAATTATTCTTAGCATAGATTAGAATAGTTTACGTATCATATTGGAAAAGAAAAAACCTAACAAAATGGTATAAATTAATTTTTGTGAGGATGTGCTTTGTTTGGCTTACCTTGGTTTATACAAAACTTTTGTATGAGCTTAGAAAAGTTGAATGACTGTTCTTGAATTTTCAATTGATTTTTAGGTGGAACAAAAGCTGTTTTCGTGGTATCACTTTAGATTAGTGCATGTATAAAGCTTATTGATCACATATACTATGCATCATCATGTATGTGTCGTTTATGTGTTTGATTGGAGTTTTACCATACATGAGGGGACGTGGGTGAATGTTAAACATTGTCTCATATTGAATAATTAAAAAACTTTACATGTATTTATAAGTAATCGATCTCCTTTCATTGCCAATTAATTTTACAACGTGACTTCAACTTCCTCAAATGTCTAAGTAAATTTGGACGACTTGACAAGATTGCACACTTATGTGTACAGATTGGCAAAACAATAGTGAGATTGATGGCAGACTTTTCTTTAAGAATTTTCAGCCCCAAAAACTCTAGTTCTTAATCCAATTGATTTTTTTGTTGACTATAAGATGAGTTTATATCAAAGATTGTACGTCATCACCACCATACTCGTGTTGTCAATTTAATTGCCAAGTGTACGACGTTGATGCAATGTGGGACCAAATTTAAAGAACAGGGGAACTGGATCCCCTCCTGAGCATGAGGACTAGAGCATGCTAAGCAGCTCATATGGATCTTTAAAATTTGATTCAACGGTTTTAATTATTATAACTTTTAAAAGGATCTCCTGTTTGTAGTCGTTTGATCAAATTTCAAAATCCTAGATGGGCTGCTCAGCAGACTCTGATCCCCATGCTCAAGAGGGGATCCGGTTTCAAAGAACAAGGACAGGTTTTCATAATAACCAGATTCATGCTTGGGTCTACCTTCCAACCTCTATAATTCCATGTTGTAAATTTGTAATTTAATTAGTAACTGAAAATATTACATTATTTCTCAGTCGGGATTTTTCTAGTTGACAACTTTTTTTTTCCAAAGTATAAAGTGCACTAAATTGATAACTGCTAGTATTATTTACTTTTTATATTATTTTGTTACAAATTAAAAAAAAATGTGAAAAATGAAGGAGGAGTGCCGTTTAGATGTATTTGGACACAGAGAAACAAACAGTTTTTTCTTTTTGTTTGTTTTTTATTTAAAATAAATCCCATTGAACAACATGTGCCTAATATTATGACTTTCTTCTTCTTTGCCTAATCTTGATCTTAATATTTTGGTAGGTTTTCATTTGATTTTTCAAATACGACTTGTAGTTCACAACTGTTCAACTTGTGAAGAGAGTTATCCTTTCGTTTAAGCTCCAATGTTGGACTCTCCCTTCCCTCAATGTCATTTGCATAACCAATAAAAAATAAATAAATAAAAAAAAAACACGAGAGTCTTTTAATAACATTCTAACTTGTTCACATTACCTTTTACTATTTTGATCTCCCTTTTTTTGAATAATCATTTGCTTAAAGTAAAAAAAACAATGGTTTGCTATTAGTATGATTTAGTGATACTCGGCTCCATTACAAGTAAAAGATCTCAAGTTCCAACTGCATGATTGACGAGTTTGATACTCGTCTCCACTACAAGGAGAAGATCTCAAGTTCCAACTGCATGGTTGATGAGTTTGATACTCAATTATGGTCACTTATGTGGTTTAACATACTCCAAATTGGAAAGATGAAATAACCTTAACGATGTAGGTGGAGCGATTGGAATTTGGGGGTGAAAAATGTCAAGTATAAGCACTCAAGAGTGTGGAGCAACACCAAACTTAGCCTGGACACAAGGGTCCAAGCCTGCCAAGCTTGTGGGCTTGAACTAAGAATCCCCCTCAGTGGATTACTGAATCATTCACCTCTGAAAGATCCATGCATATATCCCCTCATGAATCCAAGTTCGTGAATTTCCAAATAGTTTCGTGGATGCTTAATTGATAATACCAAGTAATGCTTTGGTGACTCGGATACTCTAATGACATATTGGCTTGATTAATCATCCAGTTCTTTGAGTTGTAACATGAATTAACATACTCCAAATTCGAGTGTCCATTGTAATCACTCCATAGTCCAAACCAGGTTTTAAGATTAATAATATTGTATCTTCCCTCAATTCATTGGAATATTAACACATGAATCTTATGCGGGTTTCAATCGAAAACGTTTTCTGACATTGACGTAACCCCTCACTTTGATCCCTAAGTTTCAATTTATCAATATTAACCTTCTTTTTTTTATCTTACTATTTCTCCAATTGATTGTTATTTTTGTGAGTTTTCCCGATAATCACAATTTTTAGCTTAGCACATGACTTGTGAAACTGACAAAGTGACAACTATTTGCTCTATTAAGAGGATCACTAATTAATATTTAGTGTGTGACTAATTTATAGAACGAGGACATCTTCACCGCAGCCAGTATGCTTTGGTCGACAACCAAAACAAAATCAGTGCTACCTTTCATTTGCTTAATCATATCTGGTAAACAGGCCACCACGCATTTTTCTTTTTCAACCTTTAATTTTCCTTGTAATAATGCTTGTCAGTGTATATATATCGCCATCCTTTAGGGATCACCATCAGCTAAATGGAAAGTCAAAATAACTTTAGGTTCTTAATCCCAAATCCAATTGATAATAAGGAGCACCTAAAGACGTGGATATCGGGTGACGATATATGCATGTACTGTTTACAAAGCGGCCGGGTTGGCCGTTGGATAAGAACTTATTTTGGTCGGTTTGGATAAGCACTTAATTGGAAGCAGATTTATGTGTGTATTTGTGAATTTCCTTGAATGATAAGTGATAAGTGTTAGAAGTAATAAGATAATACTGACCAAAAATGACATGTCAAAAAGGAGGAGTGCCGTTTGTAGATGTATTTGGAAATATTTCAAAAATGAGTTCACAAGCAACTTTCTTCTCTTGTTTATTTGTTCTCTAGATGAATCTACAAAACACGTGCCTAACAAATTAATTTAATTACGTTTTACTAACCATTATTTGTTTTAGTAATATTTCTTTTTCGTAATATTAATTTTGAGATTTTGTTTTTAAATCTTATTCTACTAAAGGCCAAAAGTTGCATATGATAAATTATCATAATAATTGGGGCCTGCCACTTTACTCGAATTCAAATCCTGACTCTGCCCTCAATTGAAGTAATATTGCTTATACTAAAAATATTACTTGGACATTTTGGTCTCCAATCTGTTTGTGGCCTTTTCTTTAGGCTTGATCGAATTGAGCCTGACCCAAATTTACCATTCGTTATTGTCTAAAGCCCAAATTTGCCAATTATACATTTTCTTTGGTTAATTACCCACTACACTAATCATCAAAATCTTTCCATAACTTCTCAAATATGGCACCTTTATTTTGAAGGATGATACTTGCATTGTGGGGATGCACATATTCAATTTGCAAATAACATATAATGATGGAATAAAATTAAAGATCTGAACCGTTCTACTAATTAATCTTAATTTGAAGACCATCTCTACACCGTCAATTTTTTTTAATACATTTAAATGACTAAATCACTCCAATTGAAATGATTTTTTTAGGGTGATCTTCAAATGAAGAATAAAAAAAAATTGAACAGTTCTGGATCATAAAATTTGTACAGTCAAGATATGTTATTCGCAAGAGAAGAATGTAAGTATTATCCTATTTTTAATACAACAAAATAAATTGCACTAAGCAATGAAAGACTAAGGTTAAGCCACAGAATCAGTTGATCATAACAATTAGATACCAAAACTTATCACATTGTAAAACTAAAACTATATCTTTAAAGTCCCGACGAGGGTATCGATTGCCCCTAGCTTAGTGGGCCAACCGTGGTAGAAGAGGGCATCCATTGCCTTTGGTGAGAATCGAACCTAATATCTTTTACTTATAAGTGAAGAAAAATACCACTAAATTGTAGTATTAAGTGGCAAAGTCAAAAACTTAAAAGGGCAAAAAGAACAAATTTTGGGTACTTGGTGTAGCGACTAAATTCTATGGGTTCATAGCAACTCTCGAAAAGAGTCGGGACAACATAAAACATAGCCCATGCACAAAGCTGGGCCCAAATTGTTTGGGCTTTTAACTAAACGAGCTTCTTAAAATGTCAGCCGAAAGAATTGTTGTCAGTGGAAGTCCCACTACGGAGTCGCCTCGAGATACACCTACACAGCAACAATGGAGGAAAGCAGTGCACAGAGGCGACTGGATTCAATTTCTCGTCACCTTCTATTGCAACCTCCTCAACCTAACCATGGCCTTCAACAGGTAGGATTGAATTCCTTTTTTATTTACTTTTAGTTTTTGGGTTGTATTTTGCTGAATTTGCTGAAAAACTGAAAAAAAAAAAAAAAAAAAAAACCCCAAAAGAAAGCTGTATTTGATGAATTATAATTGGTAGGCGGTGTTATTAAGTAATGGGAAATCGGAAAGTGAAGGGTCAGTGGCTGTGGTGATAGGAGGCATGGTGTTGGACATTCATGCCACACCTTCCATCCCTTCAAATCCCAGAACCACCACTCCTGGCAAGGTATTTGTTAGTTGAACTTTACTTCCCACAAATTTTTATTTGAATTTATTTTTCATATTAAGTGTTTTCTTTTGTGTGAATTTGAATCGGGTATCGAACATTGTCTTCTTATTTGTGTCTGGTAAACTACATTGGTTGGTATTTGAGATTCCACTTTTATTAAAGAACTTGAAGTAATGAAAAGGATTTTGTGCTCCAAGTCCCTTCCTTTTGAATGTAAAATGACCAGTAGACATGAGTTATGTCGGTTAGCTAGGGCACTGTGGTGAAAATATCGCCTTGTGCTTATAAAATGATCAATGCTCAAGGGGGAAAGGAAGTTTTCATTTGTGTTTGATTGAGTATTTTAACCCTTCGAAATTCTACACCTGAATGAATTCCTAGTTTTCCCAATTGTAGCTTTAAAGGTAATTTTTTTCCCCTGCTAACATAGAGACGGTTTCTGGCATGTCTAGAATTTGGAAAGATTAGTGCTTTTACTAGATATACTTATTTGCCAATGCTTACCTGTGGGAATTATCTGTTCAGGTCAGCTATGTATTAGGAGGGGTAGCAAGGAATGATGCCGAGTGCATGTCAAAGCTAGGAGCTAAGCCCTTCATGATTAGCGCCTTGGGCCTTGACATGGCAGGTGATCTTGTAACCTTTTATTTTTATTTGACATTACAATCATGGTTTTCCAATCTCAGTACAAGACATGTAGGTCTCGTCCTGAACCAGAGGCTGTGACTGTTTTCTGAACTTTATATTTGCACCATAATCAAGATTTTTGTTCAGCACGTGACTTGTGAAACTGACAGCTTCTATGTTGCTAGGAAACTTATTGTTGGAGCACTGGAAGTCTTCTGGGCTATCTATGGAAGGTCATCTATTATGTTTGAAATTTTATCTTTCACCTACACTGACTTTTGATGTAGTAATAACTCTAGGTTGCAAAGATTTTTTTTTTTTTTTTTTTAATATTTTATATAGCCAGTTTGACTTATCTTCCGGTGTATGTGCGTGTGTGCATGTCTCATAGGGATAAACTACAATCAAGTTTTTGTGCCTTTTTTTCTTCATCTTGAAGTGATAAAAAATATGTTTACAGTTCCTAGTAGTAGGTTAATTTGTAATGATGGTTTTGGAGTAGGCATTTTGAGGCACCAAAATGTTGAGACTCCTGTTGTGTGCAACATGCTTGATGTTAATGGGGAGGTGGCCGCTGGTGTTGCGAGTGTAGAAGCTCTCGTAAGTACAATTTCAATTATTTAAATAAGTTGCTTATTTATGACAACGGTCAAATTGGAAAAGTAGAGAAAAGTTTATAAATTCTACAAGAAGCTGTTTTGCTTACATGATGACCATGGCACAGGAAAAGTTTCTGACGCCCGAGTGGATCCAACAGTTTAAATACAGTATACGCTCTGCTCCAGTGTTGATGATTGATGCAAACCTGAATCTTTCTGCTCTAAAAGCTTCTTGCCAATGTAATTCTACCATCTTGTACACGCAAAACACACACCCACACATACATACTCATTTGATATACAATATACATACATGTATATATATGTATGCTGTTATCATTGGTTCATTTCTTGGCTCAAAAGTAATTACAAATTTTTTTGTTCTTTTATTCCAAATGTTTATCTTCTCTCTTAATTTGGGTTTCTTTCAGTGGCAGCAGAATCTAAAATTCCAGTGTGGTTTGAGCCTGTATCGGTAGCAAAATCTAGAAGAATCAATTCAATTTCCAAGTATGTGAGTGTTATGCTTTTGCACTTACATTCACATTTAGCAATTAATGTTCTTAAATGTTATATCCAGCTCATTTTGGGATTGGTTACTCCCTTTTTCTAGTCCGCAGTGTTATACCGTTTTAGTCTATTTTTCTTGCTGGGAGGTGCGGTATGGAAGAAAGGGTCCTGATCCGCATTTCCCCCTCCCTTCATTTGTACAGGATTTAATCTCAACAAATTTTCAGAGACATGATCTCATTGTATAAACATGCTGTTTGTAGGGTAATTGGATCCAACCCCCTTGGCATCTTTTATCAAAACATGCATACAGTTATTTAAGGTTAAATAATAAAAACAAATTTTATGCTTGGTCCAAGTGTAATCTTTATATTTCCAGGGTTGCTTTTTTTCCTCATCAACGGCTAACATACTGATCATTTGGTACAGGTAAGTTTTGCTTCACCCAACGGGGATGAACTTGTTGCAATGGCAAATGCTTTATCCGGTGGAAATGTGTTTTCTCCAATTGAAAGGGATCAATGCTCAACCGAAACTTTGTTCCATATGCTAAAACCCGCGGTCTGGGTTTTGCTAGAGAAAGGTATCAAAATAGTTGTTGTGACCGTTGGTTCAGATGGAGTGTTCTTATGCTCTAAAGGAGGGCCAAGCTTCATGAGAACTGTTTGCAAGGGAAACAAACCAAATGTTTCCAATGCGGAACTGTTTAACACTGTGACTGCAAGTTGTCCATCAAATGCGTTCTCAAATCCTTTAGATTCTGACAAAAGCTCGTTTCTCTTTGCTGTGCAATTTCCTGCACTTCCTGCATCGGTGGTAAGGCTTACAGGAGCTGGCGATTGCTTGGTTGGGGGGACTGTTGCTTCTATTTGTGCAGGTTTAGATGTCATGCAAAGTCTAGCAGTTGGTATTGCAGCTTCCAAAGCTGCAGTTGAGGCAGAGACCAATGTGCCTTGTGTACTTAATCTGGCCGCAATAGCAGGTACAAGTTTGAAGCTGTATTTTGCATACAGAGTAAATAATGTATGTTTCAAAATGGATTGGCGTTCATATTTTTTCCCATCGCATTCAGTTTACATGTTTGCTGGGAAGCTTAAGACAATAAGGTGGCCTAATTTCAGAATTTCGAGCTACCATGAAATCACCGCAGTTATCCATGTGATGCTTGAGATCTTAGCTACCACATTCACATGACAAACAGATGATATATCTTGTTATAAATAAGTTGGAAAACAAATTTGTGAACCCGTTTCTGAGATTCATCCAAATGATGTCGTGTAATGGGATTTCAGAAAAGAAAAAAAAACACATTTAACTTTTGGCAGTTTTGCATGACTGAAAGAGGTTCAGTTATTTGATGCGAGGCTGTATATACTGATTGTTATACAATTTGTTTGGATGCAGATGATGCAAAGTTGGTATACTCGGCTGCAAAAGTTGTGTTCCATCAATCAGTGCTTTAAAACCGTGGAATTGTGAATCAAGAGTTGAATTGGTTGAATTGGTTGAATTTTGCATATCAGATGGAAAATTTCGGTTGAGAACAATGTCAGATGGAAATTTCCACTTGAGAAACAAACGTGAGTCTTTGTTGTCTTGTAATGTCATGCATTTGAGTTTATGAGCTACTGGAGTTGTTTACTGATGAAAAATAATTAATGAAGAAGCAATGCTTATGGTTTGTGTGAGTAATTGGAAATTTCTCTGAACTCAACGTGAAACCAGCCACTTGGTACTACGGTCTAGTGGTATTCCTCTTCACTTGTAAGTGAGAGGTTTTAGGTTCCATTCTCACCAAAAGCGACTTTCAACCATATTATTGCTAGCCTATTATATTATTGCTGATCCATTGTGAGGCTAAGCCTACTCTCTCTCTCTTAGTGTAAAAAATATTGTTCTGTTGTACACTAATAAGACGGTCAAGAGGCATATAATCTTGTACGGTCAGGAGGCGTTTTGCATTTAATTTATAACACCTCAATGATTTTTTCGTTTTATTTTTGTGCAATGCGATACTCTATTTTATAATTTATGGGGAGGGAATTTCAAATCCGACCAAAAAGAGACAAATTGAAGTGGCCTAACTTCTGCATCAAATGTACTCCTGGCCCTTAGCCGTAGGATTGGGTAGCGTCTATGCCAGAAATCGTCAAATTTTAGATCAGAAACGATAAGACCACAGAACATAAACAATGCTCAGTGTGCTCATATAAGTCAGTTCTAAATCTTCAGAGAAACACAAAACCAAAGCTGAAATATTAAGAATTCTCCGAGAGAAGACTGAAAAAAAATATAAAGGAATGGTGCCGTACTAGAATAATATGGGAAACTCACCCCCAGAAAGCAGAAAACTAATAGGACGGAAAAATCATTCTTTGAATTAACATGACAAAAAACAGAACATGATTTAGGTGTTTAAATCACTGAAATTGAGAAAAACAAAGTACAAAACAATTTGAGAAAAACACTGAAATTGAAATGTGTGACGTCTAGAATTATTATTCGGCTTTCCTTGTCAAATCTTGTAAATTGTACCACACATACTCTAGATAGATTTAAAGTTCAAATGTCACTTTTGGGATCTTTGCAGCTGGAAATTATTGAGAAATTATCTTTTCAATGATTTAAAGAATAAAAAGTTTACATGGCCTTGACTCACACACTTGTGCTACCAACTCAGCCGAACTACCATAACAAACTTAGCCTAACTAATCACAGCAACTAACAACATATTACAACAGAATTAACCAAAGCTAAGTTCTATCTTTTACAAGAGAGTTACCCAAGAATACATAAAACCCTCATGTTGATTTCCTATCAAGTGAACAACTTGCCCATTCGGCATCTGAAAAGGCATTTATGCTCAGTGGTGTTGAACTTTTAGAAAGCCAAAAACTAGGGGTGGACGCGGTGCGGTTCGGTGCGGTTTCGAGTGAAACCGCAACCGAAACCGAAACTTTTTGCAGTGCGGTTTTGAAGCCAAAACCGAAATGAAACCAAACCGTTTGGTTTGGTTCAGTGCAGTTTCAAATGGTTTCGGTTTGGTTTTTGAGAAAAAAATGTACAATTTAAAATATACACATATTTATGCATAAGACGGTCTTATTTTCCTTGTATATTAATTAATGAATATGCAGCAAAATTGCACCAAAAACAGCAACAACAATGCAGCAAAAAACAGCGGCAAAACTGCCAAAAAAATGCAGCCAAACTGCATAAAAAACGCAAAAAAACTGCAGCAAAACAACACGAAAAACTGCACCAAAAATGCAGCAAAAAACTGCATTGAAACTGCACAAAAAACAGCAGCAAAACTGCACCAAAACTGAACCAAAAAACTGCACAAAACTGCACCAAAAAAACTGCACAAAAACGCATCACATCTACTAAAATTCAACTTGATCACCAATCACAATACTTTACTAGAACTCAATTGAAAAGTTAAGTTTGCCGTAATACAACTAAAGTTCAAGCTTCAAAGTTTCAAACAAAGTTCAATGTCAAATGCCTTATGGCATTAGTACAACCAAAAAAATAAATGGTTCGTGGAATTCAACAAAGTCTTGGTTTTCAACTTACTTTGCATCGTTCAAGTTTCAAACCTTCGTCTTTCCTTTTCCTTTTGGACACTTATTCTTTGAAGGTTTAGGAGGCCTTTGAGCTTGTGAAGACCTTACACCTTGTAAACGCATAAGGGGAGGCTCTTGTGAATTAGAACCTTGAGATTGCTTTGGAGCTTGTTGTGGTTGTTGATCAAGAGTAAGAGAGGCAATGCTTGAAGTCGATTTGGCCAACTCTACACAATACAAAACATAAAAAATATAATTGATGTTTAGTTGAAAAAAAAAAATACGAAGAAAGTTCTTTTACTTCAAATGATATACTTACCCGATTCAATACTTTCATAGAACTCAATGTGGTCAATTGAAGGTGCATCTTCCTCCAAAGTAATAATATTATCACCCATCAACCAATTTTGCATGCATATCAAGGCATCCACCGATTTAGGAGTTAAAGAACTCCTAAAATCCGAAATCACTCGACCACCGGTGCTAAAAGCACTCTCCGGTGCCACGGTTGAAACTTGAATTGCAAGAATATCTTTTGCAATTATGGCCAAGATAGGATACTTGTTACCATTTACCTTCTACCATAGGAGAATGTTAAAATACTTTGTAGACTCCTCTTTTGTAATTTGTACCAAGGGATCAAACAAATAAGAATCCACCTCATCTCCCACCACTTTCTCATCACTATCTTCAACAAAATGCATCCATTCATCAATTAGATCATCTTCTGTCATAGCCATATTAGATGAGGTAGAAGAAGGTTGTGATTGTAAATTTTCCGATTTCTTCATGTATTTTCCACCTTTAACATTAGGAACATATTCATATAAAGGGCACGCAATATATTTTTTATTTCTTCAGTTTTCAATTGTGCCTCAATGTCTGAAAGTTTCTTTCTAAAGAGTTGTGTGACATGCCTCAACTTGAACCTCGGATCTACAACAAGTCCAATCACAATAAGACGGTTCAATTCATGGTATGAGTCAAAATATTTTTCATATTTTGATCTCATATTGAATGCCATTGCCTTCAATAATTGCTCCGATAGTAAACCCACTTGCATGTTGGCTCGGGATTCCAAGTTATTGATGGCGGTCTCCACTTTTATGACATCATGGAGGCGGGTATGAAGCCGTGGAATGTGTAGAAGCACTCTCCCTCAAAGTCACATCATAAAACACCCATAAAAACTTGACAAAAACCTCTGCCTTAGACCAATCTTCTTCCATTGGTGGTCCAACCCTTTTCCTCCCCTTGGTTTAGCAAACAATAATCACACCATCTTCATCTTTTTCATCTTCAACTTCCTTAAAGTAAGCCAATAAGGGACTTGCTTCATCCTCCGCCATTGTAGCAAAGGCCTTCTTAAATTTCAAGGCTACATCCAACATAACAAATGTAGAATTTCACCGAGTAGGGCAATCAAGGCAAACCGTTGCTTTGCATGTCAATTTCACCCTATTCACGACTTACCTAAAAAGCTCCAATCTTTGTGGAGAGCTCTGTAGACATCAAAATTTCGGTGAAATGAATGTTGACCAATAATTAAAATTTCAACGTTCACGTGTCACATAAATTTTACATGTAGCGTGTGACTCAACGAAAAATCGAAATAAATTGGAAAAGTCATCAAATAAGACACGTGTCAATACCTGGCAGAAATGATTTATTTCATCTGATTATTTAAATCCAAAAATCAAGTTTTGGAATTCTATAAATAGGAGGCCAAAGGCATTCATTTGAGGAGAAAGAAGGAAAAGAAGGAAGGAAGGAAGAAAGGAAGGGAAATTGATATCACACCAAAATCTTCAAGCTTCGGAACTCTAAAGCTCTCAAGCAAATCCCGAAGGATCAAGAAAGCACTCTTCGTTCTTCGTCAAATCAACCTTCAAGATCAAGCCCCAACGGCCCTTGAAGAACTTCCACCAACTCAAGATCAAGCCCCGACGGCCCTTGAGGAAAGTGTTCATCGTTCATCATCCATCAACCTTCAAGATCAAGCCCCAACGACCCTTGAAGAACTTCCACCAACGCAAGATCAAGCCCCGACGGCCCCTTGAAGAAAGTGTTCATCGTTCATCATCCGTTCATCCTAAGTTCAAGCCCCAACGGCCCTTTGGATCAACAACCTCAACAAATCCACACATCCAATCGTTCTTCAAGATTAAGCCCAAAAGCCCTTGAAGATCCGCTCATCCATCAACCTTCAAGATCAAGCCTCAACGGCCCTTGAAGAACTCCCACTAACTCAAGATCAAGCTCCGACGGCCCCTTGAAGAAAGTGTTCATCATTCATCACCCGTTCATCCTGAGATCAAGCCCCAACGGCCCTTTGGATCAACAACCTCAACAAACTCATACACCCATTCTTCAAGATCAAGTCCAACGCCCCTTGAAGATCCATTCATCAACTGTGCATCCTTAGATCAAGCCCCGACGGCCCTTTGGATCAACAACTCATCCACAAACCCACATCGTACGAAGATAGAATCAGAGGATCAAATTACAAAGAGATTGTAACCCCAAAATCATTAATACAAAATATATATTTTGTACACGTATTCTTGTCGCTTGTGTTTCAGGAATTATTCGTGTTTACAAATTTGGCACGCCCAGTGGGACAATCTCTACCTCTCATCTCTATCCTCAAATCATCAAAAAACGCAAATGGCATCAAGAAAGGATCAAGCTGTTCCTGCAATCAAAGCAAAGAACAAGAACATCATCGCCGCAAGTGGTGATATTTCGGGCATCATAACCCGAAGTAAGGCAAGAGATCTTTTTGCCGCAGCTTCCGCCCCTGCATTAACTCTGTCAAAGGAACAAGAGCACCTGAGGTACGAGCCTGTGATCACCCTAGCCTCGCTAAGGGCATCAAGGGGGGAAAGCCCGAGGAAATACTCAGAGTCCCTACTCTCCGACGCTGATTCGAGCGGCAGTACAACCATGCAAGTCATGACCACTGGAGCAACTTCAATCGAGGAGCAGCTAGCTCAGATGAATGAAGCAATCGCAAAGCTCACACGAACTGTGGAAGAGAAAGACTTGCAGATTGCCGCACTTGTCAACCAACTAGATGCGCTGCCCGACGTGAAAGTCGACCCAATTGTTGGCCTATTAAAG